AGTGAAATGAAACGAAGTGAATGAGAAAAACTCATCAAGAGAATGATAGTCGCATGCAATAGTTATGAGAGTGAACAGAACACGTCTGAAAAGAATGAGAATCCAACTAAATCAGTTTGAACTGAGCATGTCATAGAGACAATAGCTTTTCAAGCAATCATAATCGACTGCAGTAATGAGCAACACAATCGGTCTCGGACACTAAATTCTTTCACGCCACTGAGCTTCCGGACCGGATTTCCGTTTGTTATTGATGTTATACGTAGAAATAGTAAGTTCTTTTATAGGGGTGGGGGGTGAAGGCATCTTATCAAATCATCAAAAGGGGTAATGGAACACTCGAACGTGAGAACTACTGATATTGAACATTTGCTGACTCGTCTTAACAGTCTACCGAATTTCAATTAGCTCGCTTCACAACTCACTCCAGTTTAGGTCAGGTCGCTGACCACTCATCTTAACGGCACATCAAGATTCAACCACTTCGGTTCACGACTGTGCTTTTTAGACGAAATCATTGAAATGGTAGCTCAAATGCTTTTTCCGTTTACTAGGAACATATAGAATGCGTAGGAGTGAAACTCACGACTAAAACTCAACTTCAAATGAATTTTGAAGGGGCTAGTGAAAAAATTTCGACTGCTCAAATCATTCGGCTGATTAAAGCTCACTCTTAGGCTTATCCGTAGGCTAACACTTGAGCTCAGGTTCCGAACGTTGATTCATTCATTATTGCTGGAGAATATTCGAATCGGATGTCGACACTTTTCACGGGCTCTTTACAAGACGAGTTTTCGATAGGTCTCAGGAAAAAATGACAATCGATTCGAAACCGTCATGGCGCCGAATCCATTCCGTCACACTGATTGGCGGTACAATCATATGCTGTGTGATACTGACAGCTGGAATGTTCGTAAGCTATCTCCTTTATAATGAAATTGCGGAGATTCGTGGGACGCTTTCACACGATATGACCAGCTTCAAGGTATTACTCATTTGTTGAGCACTCTCTTTTGCATTGCCAGTACACCTCACTCAATTCATTATTAGCCTTTTCTAATCAACTTTTCATTAAAAGTTCACTTCTATACGGCCATTAAAATTGTTCGAAAATATTTTTTCTAGTTCAAAGCAAGTTTAGGCACTAGAAAGAATTTCATGTGATTTTTAACCGTAAAGGAACTCACTGATGACGCTTGGAACAATCTGATATTGATAAAACGCTCGAATGCGGCTCCGAGTCGAGAGAAACGCTATAATACGGGACCACCTCAATATGCAACTGCTTCACCTCAATATGCAATTGCTCCGGAAGTGAACATCAACAGTCCAGCGGTTCAACCCATATGCAGTAAGTAACCAAATCACAGGACGTTCATCGAAAAAATGCACTTCTATTCTACTTTCGTTCCCTTTTCATATAATCTCTTTTTTTAAACTCAAAATTAGTTCTTGACCGACAAAGCGCTCGAATCGGTACTTTATAGTGAGATAAGTGAATTTATTTTTCACTTTATAGTGAATTTTATTTTTCAGTGTGTTCACCAGCACCAAACAACTGTCCACCCGGACCGCCTGGACCAAAAGGTGATCGTGGACCGAAGGGAGGTAAGTTGCATAAAAGATTTTGTTTCCATTTATTTTGTGATTAAAATGAATCTCGTGCACGATGCTGGTGAACTCTTTGGTGGAATTAGATATTCGTGGACTCTCAGTGAAATTGATGAGCATCGTGCACGAGATTCAACCAAGCCATCAATGTTCGCACATATAGTTCTTTCAATGAATTTCATCTATGGATTGTATTGGTTAATGCGGTCGACCCGTAACCGACCCATAAACTCAGCTGTCTTGAAAAGATTTAGGTGCTTTGAAGAAAGTGATAATGATCGACTAATTTTCAGAGCCCGGTCCACCAGGCATTCCAGGTCAACCAGGTGCTCCTGCTCCACAAATTGATATAGTACAATCAGTCAATACTGTAAAATGTCCAATGGGTCCTCCTGGCCCTAGAGGACCACCCGGTCCACAAGGAGTGCCAGGTGAAGATGGTGAACCAGGAAGACTTGGTCTGCCAGGTAATAGAGGTGTGAAAGGACCACCTGGACTACGAGGGAGTATGGGACCACCAGGTATCAAAAAGTTACCGCATCTGAGACATAACGGTGAAATTGCTTTGGAAATTAACATTTCTCATCAATATTCTAATGGATGAAATCCATTAAAATGTTGATAAGAAATTTAGTTTCAGCATGTTCCTTGAGTAGTGAACTATTTTAGAGAAACGATTATTCGAGGTGTCACGTTGACTAACTGATCCATTTTGAATAATGTCTGGTAATAAAACCATCGTTCATTTTCAACTGATTTGGCCTCCATAATGTTACGCATATGGTCAAAAACTAAAATTATTAACAATTTTTTGGATCATATCTCTATTGAGATAGAACTTTTTTCCTCAAATTCGCCAAGCAAGTGTGAAAGAAGATCCAATTCATATTCAGGAATGCCGGGACCACAAGGCATGCGCGGTCCGCCTGGAAGGAACGGAAAGATTCCAATACGAATATGCGGACCAAAGGGGCCTCCGGGTCCACGTGGACCTCGCGGTCCAGCCGGTGAACCGGGCAGGTGGGGGATGGATGGCCTAATGGGACCTCCGGGACCACCCGGTCCTCCTGGTGATTGTGGTTTACCAGGAATGGACGGTCCACCAGGACTGGTTAGCGACATTCCTTTCTACTTTAACGCTGACAGGAAGTCCAAAGACCTTTGCTTCTTCTCTCCAGTATCAAATCAAGTTTGGAATTCAGGCGGCTCTCTTGTTACCATCAAGATTTTCTAACATTTTCGATAGCCAAATAACTTCCTGAATCTACACAACCTAGAAAAATTCCAGAATGAATTACGACCTATGAATTACCTCAGTCATTTGTCGCCTCACCTGTGAACCAATTCGCAGATGAGGCGACAAATGACTGAGGCTCGAGGAGATGTATCTATGTATCACAATTGATTACTGTATCACAATTGATTACTCTTTCGATTTATCTTACTTGATAAATCGAAAGAGTAATCAATTGTGCGAAAAGGGCATTTAATGTTAGAGTAGTATAGATATGAAAAGCACCTTCCCACAGGAACCCACCATGAAACTGTACATATATAAGAGGCGATGCTTAGTGATATTAATGTTTCCAGCCTGGACGACCAGGACGCCCTGGACTGGATGCTGAATACTGCAAATGCCCACCACGTGTCTCAACTGTGGTCGTCGCTCGGCCTGCTGTCTCGGTCATAAAACCAGTTATTTCACAATATCCGGTTCAACCCAAAACACCACAAGTACCCTATGCAAGACCACCGTCTGCATATCCTGAACCTATTCATATCTTATCACCGGTCGCGAAACCACTACTCTCATATATGCAAGGTTGAAAGCAATCTAATAATGAAAACAGCAAGGTTTACCCGATCAAGCCTGCACCATTTTGCACGTAAACAAACATAATTATTCAGCTGATAACTCATATCGTTTCCTAACTATAATTAACTAATTTGACGTTCTAATTCATTAGTTCCTGAGCTTAATACGTTTAGTAGTACGTTATAATGATAAATGTTGCTATATTTTTCAAATAGAAATATGACTTGCACTGTCATAATGTGAATAAAAACGTCATACTCGTCAGTCATATTCATCTAGTTGCTCGCAAGTTATACAGAAATAACGACTACGAAGGGATAACCAGAATTTTGATTCCGCACAATCAAAATATAAACACCAGTACATAAACAACACTCATTTTCTTCATCTTAGTCATTGAAATCTGAAATTTTCGATGACCTATGTCAGCTCAAAGTCATTAGTGGGCCATGACCGATGACCCAAACTATCACAACAACCTGGTTATCCCTTTCTGATACATCAGTGGAACGGATGACTTCCTGCTGTCGATGAAGTGGGCATCAAGACGATTTTATATCGATGGCACATCTTTACGAACAGAACGTGTGAATGAACGAATTTAATCTGACGAATGATCAAAAAACTCGATCGTTGGTAGGCGATTATTGATGATTTGAGGGATGCCAGCAAAATTTCATCCATTATAATTATACTTTATCCTCGTCAGTTTCACGCACCATTAAAAAGACTTCAATTAATTTGCGTGAACGAAGACATGAAATGCAATGATGCTGCCGTATGAGTCTCACTATAAAATGGCGCATTCAGCGAGCGATCGAACACTTGATCCTAATCATAGAACTACCCTACGATGAAGTCCCTATTCTGTAACAAAATCTTAGCAAAAATTTCAATTTTTCTACCATCCTCATGTTCGTCATACAGAAAATAGCAATTGGTCACCTTGCTTTTCCCAAGTTTTTTTTTCCAATTTATTTGCATTCGATTGCAGTCACTGATCAGTCACGGAATCGACTTTTTTTTCCACATTTCAATGCTGTTATCTACAGTTTAGTTTCCCAACCGCATACTTTCTATTCATCTCTTGATTAATGATAAATTGATTCTATGATAAGAAGAAGTGATTATATTTATTGGTATTATTCGATGAAACTAAACTGGTACGCTTGAGTCCAATACAATCATCCGAGTAGCAAGCTCTTTTCGAGTACAACTTATTGCGACTGTGGAACATGCACAATGACAGTTGTTTTTGAAAAAAAATCAAACAAGAATGAAATTTTTTGAAGGGCAAATTTTTTTTGGCAATTTCCAAGAAGTTACTTCTGCCTTACCACCTGCTGCGTCGTAATTTCAGATTTTTGCTAAATATTCTTTGGCAAAAATCTGAAATTCAACATTTTCGATTTGGTTTTCAACTAAATATGTAAGAGTAATCATTGTGGATATCCTGAATAAAAATTCCATTTATGCATTAGTTGCTTCTTAACGCGATGGCTTCTTAACGTCGTTCCGTCGAAGGTGAAAGTATTCATGTAGAATTACATAGCAACTTGAAGATGAGTAAGAATATTACTTGAAAGTGATAATGTTAATAATGCAAGTGCAACGATTGTTCTGCAACATTTCGCGTCCGAATTCAAACATCACGTATTTCTTTCTCTGTTGCCAAAGAATAAATATATTCAAAAGCTGTCACAATTGTCATCAGCTATGCAAAACCGATCAAGAATGGTGATCGTGCATCGTTGCCGAATGGCTTTCCGTAGTGCTCGTCTCAAAATTTCACATTATCATTCAAAGAAAGGAACAGTAAGCACACACACACAAAAAACAGCAATAACCAATTACCTTCTGTTGAGCAAATTACCACGCAAACCGGTTATTTTATGAGGCAATTCACCAGAAAATTATTTCATTCATAATGAGTTGAATTCTACCATTGTGCCTGCCTATCGCAGCATTCAAACGATACGAAAAAACTTCGTTGAAGGCGTTTCAAAGTACTAATGCAATTTTCTATTGAATAGCACTTTTAGCAGCACGACCGGCTCTATACACAGCGATAGATAGATACGTTTCAGTATAAATACGCCTTCAACTTCGTACGATCACTTTAATGTTCTGAAGGCAAAACAGTTCCGTTCCGCTGGTTTCGACAATGCTTCCAATTGATTAGATCGGTGTTTGATAGTCATTTATAGTTCCATAATTACGCTCATCATACGAATATGAATCAGAAATTACCTTCGGAGCGGATAAAATAGTATCATCGTTTAAAATTCAACATTAGTTATATGAATATCTTTGAAAAGGTAGAATTTAGTTAGATCAAAAATGTTACTTGAATATAAATTAACATTTAGCTCGAATAACTACGCTTCAAAATTACCAAAATATGAATGATGTGTACATAGATGGGATGAAAGTATGAATAATTATTTGTTTTCTGATCAAATTTGTCTTACTTTCATCTCAAACACTTGTATTCTTTGCCACTATGAATATCGTTTCCAATACGACCCGGAATCGCCTAAAATTCTCTAATTATAAATACTGATGATTGTCTAATAAAGTGCTGGTCAAATTTTCATCTACAGATCACAACCAACTTTTTTATCTTCAACTTGGAAACGTTTTGAAACTATTGTTACTGTTTTGAATGTTGAGAATGCAATCCATTCTTTGGATCGAATTTTCGTTCGAAGCATCGTCGATTGCATTACGATTGTCAGTTGGATAACCTGACCATAGTTTTCAGTCAGTTTCGGAGGCGAAAACTTCGTTTTTGTCTTAAACCTGTTCCCATGGTTCGATCATGTACTTTCGTTACGTATCGATTAAACTATTATAACTTTCAGGATTCAAATGATTAGTGGTGGCAAACTGGTGATCTGCATTGGGTCAGCGGTGAGTGCGACACTGATATTTGGATCGCTTATCACGATTGCGATACTCTTTAACGACATCAACACTTTGTATGAAGATGTTATGAGCGATATGGCTGAATTCAATTACATCACGAAGGATTGCTGGCATGAAATGATCGTGATAATGAATGGTCCGGGCGAGAATAGCGCTGTAAGTCGCAAGAAACGTGAAGAGGAACAATGTGCCACATGTGGTGAAAACTTTAACGATTGTCCTCCAGGTCCACAAGGACCACCTGGAGATCCGGGTTACGACGGAGAAGACGGAGCGCCCGGTATGCCGGGTAAAGACGGTGCTGATGGTGTCACGTATTTATTCAACGAGAACGGTGGGTGTATCAAATGTCCGATGGGACCGAGAGGTCCTGTGGGCCCAGTGGGACCACCTGGACCGATCGGCCCAGACGGGCGCCGAGGCACACACGGACGAAAAGGGAACGATGGAAGACCTGGACGAAATGGACCTCGCGGGGATGCCGGGCCACGAGGTAAGATTTCATTGACAAAGTTATGGTTGAATTTTACAAAATGAAATTCATCACAAAATTCGATATGAGAAGGAATAGCACAACCAACTGATGATATGCTATGACAAATTCATAAGAATATTCTATAAGACTTTCCAGCATTCCGTCATTCTCTGTTCGTAATATCAGAACAAATTTGAGTACTGATTGTAAGTGCATCCGTTACATTAGTGCATTTCCTAATCGACTTGTTGGGCACTGATCCTCGACAGTTAAATTGCTTCCTGGTTTCGGTGTCCGTCCTTCCAGTTCTTTTTCTAGGAATCTCATTAAACAGTATCGTTTAGGTGAACGCGGTGAAACTGGCCAAAGAGGACCACCAGGCAAAGACGCTCAACGTCACAAAGGAACCAAAGGACCAAAAGGTCCCACAGGTCCCGAGGGGCTTCCTGGCCACCCCGGTCCATCAGGAAGAAGCGGTGAGAGGGGACCCCAAGGACCTCGTGGCCCGCAGGGTCCGGAGGGCAGACAAGGATCTCGTGGAAGACGAGGACCACCTGGAGAACGGGGAAGTGTGGGATTGCCAGGACACGATGCGTCTTATTGTCCTTGCCCATCACGCGTGACCGTGGCCGTCTGAAAAAGCATCAGAAACACCATTCGAAATTTCTCACTTTTTTCCTCGATATCACTTCATTTTATGCGAACATTTAAGTCTATCAATAAAATCGCCTCTATGAATAAATTGCTATGGAGTGATGTAAAAATGGCAATATATGAAATCAGTTACTGTACGCTTTTAATTGATAAATTAGTATCATGTTTCATGAAATCAGCGGCAACTATTGCGGTGGGGCAGAAACATTTGTAGAAATTTGCACTTCCTTACTCAAACGTAATAAAATCAATCCTTCATGGAATGCATGTTAGAAAAACCATCAATCAGCTCGATCGAATGCCAATAATTTGATGCAAAAAATGGCTCCATTGAATAAATAGTCGTTAACAAATTTGTCTTTTAAGATCACTGTACTCCAAAATTTTGCTTCAAAAGTCTCGTATTTATTTATTCGCCACTGTTATGAGAAATAAACACGTTTGAAGTTTGACCTGCTCAATTACTTACTCTTCATTCAGAGAAAAGTCAATCACGCATTACGAACTTGTCCTGTTTTGAATGCTACTGCATATTACAACTACACTTTTATTCCTTAACTGATAGAATATTGGAAACATGAATCATTATTACTTTTTGCATTGCATCTTTCAAAAAGAGAGTGCATCATACGGTCACCTGTTAGGTAATCATTTTATCCACGGTTATCAGTAGGCATCATAAGGTAAGATAGAATTTTTGAACACTTATGAGCTTCATCAATTTTCTCTGCAATTATATGATCCAGAACACTCTCCTCGTTCAAACCGATCTACAATTTACAATCTTTGTGCAGTCTTGTGATAAAAGGAGTTAACCTGGATGGCAGATATTATCAACTTTACAAAACCAGTTTAAAGCAGATGAAAGTTTGCGTTGATTTTTCAGAATGTTTTAGATATCACTGGAATGACGGCAATGTTGCGAAACAATTAAATCTGCTGAGCGATTTGGGTCATGAATTACCAAATTCAAGTGAAAAGGATGAAAAAGTAAACGAATTATAAATATTTAAGTTAGACCACTGTAATTACCAATCAAGGTTGCTTTTCCAGATCAAAAATGCATCAGCTTCAATCAGTTCTTAAAATATCTTAAAATATTTGATTTGATCATGATAAGATATGAGGAGGCTGTCATACGCACGAAGAAAACTGGAAGCCACTTGAAATGCTTAAGAGTTATCAAATGTTTATAGTGCCACTTTACTCTACGGGGATTAGCCTGATCTATTCAGTATTTCTGACTGCACTTTACTCAACTTTCATGCTAGACCTGTTTGTTTTCCATCCTGTCCAAGGACTTCGCAGTAGACAGCCAACAGATTGCTAGGTTCAAACTTAAATTCCACCACTGCCGACGAATTAAGATTTGATTCATCTCATTATACGCTATCATCTCGTTACATACAATCAAACGACGGCAACAAATATAACAAAGATAGGTAGTTTCAACCACAGCAAATATACGAAAGATTTTCGATAATGATCAAGAGGGCGGAAGTTTTGATTCTTTTTTTTGAAATGAAGTTGTAATTCTCTAAAAATAAATGTTTTTGAGGAAAATTTTGACTGGAAAGAGAAAGTGATTTTTTTCGGAAGGAATATCGTCTTAGTTCGTCCTCAATTCCTTCGAACCGGTGACATGAAATTTAGACATGTGGTCACTGCCGACAAAAAACTTTAACGAGCATCATTTCCGTTTCTACTCATTCCAATTAAAGTTTCATTCTGTGATGATTACCGACAAACAAACACTTTCTTGATCAGCCAATCAACTTGTTCAATTCATTTAGTAAGGAACAAATACTGCAGCACTTTACTAATCTTTCATTTAATTTATATTCATTCCAGACTCTGCGAGATCGTTATTTGCTGCAATTATGCTTTCAATGATCAACCAAAATTACTCTCTTCACTGAAATATTGTGAACGAGTAATCTCGACTAAATTCGTTATCGCATAAAATTCGTTCGCATTGTTATTAGATGTTTTGTGGCTGTTTCAACTGCTTGTGTTATACTATTTTGATTTGTCGCAATCCAGTGATAGATGGTGGATGCTTTTTCCTAAATTATCGTTCTTTTGTTTCCCTTTGTATGGCTGTTACATTCAAATGGACTATTTGATTTTCTACTTGCATCGTCTAATAGGTAATTCCGTTTCGGAAATTTTCAGTGTAGTAGCTAATCAGTTTAAATTTCAATTCAGAATCTTATGTGGCGGGCCAAAATATATTATCAAAGACTGGCCAATTTTGGTCCATGGGCCGGGGGTTGCCGACGGCTGGTCCAGTATATGTCAAATCAATAACAATGATCATCAAATTGACACAATATTAGTTTGCCAAACGAATTCGTTTGCTTTTGCATTTTTCAGTTATGATATATTGAAAGATCAACGAAACAGTCTGAAGCCTGGCAGTTTGTTGGCTTGAAAATTTTTCTTACAGTTCGATGACTGCAAAGCAAGTATCATTAGATGTTGACTGGAGGAACTGATTCAGTAGTCACATTAAAAAACGAATGAGCTAACCTGACATTCCAACATAAGCTTACGTTCTTAACGTTCATTAAATCACTCATTTCTAACAATTATACACCTCTGCTATCAAATAATTTCGTTTCGTTTTTTTGATAGCTTGCTTCCTACGCTAGAACGGGTTCGTAATAATTAACAGCGAAAGAGTTGTGGAAACCTAAAGACGCTAAAAAAATAAGGTTAACTAATTCACTAGCTTTATCAATGAACATGCCATGCCATTCACTACCTCACATAATATTTCAGAAATTGCAATACGGTTAATTTCGTCGTCCTTCTTTCTATTTGAGAATTTTCGATCGTTTTATTCATAGTTGAGCACATTCTTGTGCGAAAACATCAAAAAAGTGCCGACTAAAAACAAGCAATTGAATTAGACTTATTACCCTTTGTTTTATCCGTCCGTTACGATGCTACTAAACGATCATGAATTTTCAGTGAATGTCCGTCCGTCCTTTTAACTGTCACCTTGCACCTCGTTTGAATTGACGAAACTCTGAATTTATTAAAGCACAGTCTGCATTCGAGTTCTTTTTTTTAAATTTATTTTTAGAACAACGCTAGCTACTCAGATTCAATTATACTGATATATGCAGAAGTTTGTCCAATTGTAAATGACGTTTTTTTTGTTGTTTGAAATAACCAGGAATCGACCACCCTCTTCTTCATTATCCTTTAATGAAATAAGATAAATGGCTAGAGGTAACCAACTCCTCCTCACTGTCAAATTTAGAACGTTGACACGCTGAGAGGATAATGAGCAGTTCTTCAAACGGCTAGACGGTGGTAACCATCATTGTTCATGCCTCCGTCAGTGAAATTAACCGTATTTGTAACTTGCGACAAAATTCTCTTGCGGCCGACTATCGCATGCTTGAATCGTAGATCGTTTCTCGAATTTTCACACGTAAAATGTGAACGATTCTTTAATCTCACAATTTTTTTCGCTCCATCCTGTACACCTCTCAATAACTTTTTTACATTACACTTAATGTGCAGTTGCGTGGAATGCGACAATACTGAACGATAATCCTAACGTCTTTTGACAAAAAAAACTGATGTTCTTTAATTTGTAAATGTTCTTTCGCAATTTTCATTCCATAAAAAACCTGTTAATTGTTTGTTTCAATTATGACTTCGGAAATGAATTTTTCGATTCGTTGACGATGAAAAGAATCGAAACTTTTTCAAAATAATCACAAATAGAAACGACAAATTTGTTGACATTGTCGAAATGCGTTTTGCACTGAGAAATCAATGTAATGACTTGATATTTGCATAATATTCACAAGCAAAGATCCGTTCCTCTCGACGAGTAGTCCTTCAAGCATTGTTTGATTTCAATGCCTCAATGGAAACGTGCTTTGACGAAGATATGCAAAATTGGTGTTGAAATAAAACGGTAGCGAAAACGGTTGTTTCACACTAGCCTGCATCAAACTGCTAATTATTAGGGAAAAACATTGAATATTTTATATCTGCTTGCGAATGTTGATGAGGAGGTTCGTTGAAAAATCCGAATGAAGCATTCGTCAAAGAGTTTATTTCAATACATTCAAGGTATCTGTGACTAAAACATGTAAAATGAGTTGAAAGTGCGATCGATGGTTTATCTCAAAATGTGCGCAGGAATTTTTGTCGTCGATACAGTCTCTTAATGTTTCATATTCTTTGCTAATCGTTCAATTAATGCGAATATGAGATTGCATCTAGTGATTGATAGCTGAAACGTTGTTATTTTTTAGAAGAATGTGATCAAGTTTTGTTATAATTTCAGCATTGTTTGGGATTGCAGGAATGATTGAGGCGTTTCATTTGTATGCGGTACGTCAGCAGATGGTGAAAATGAGCGATATCATACTGTGCGGGATGTGGAATATAAGTTTGTGAATGCGTAATTGGTGAATTATGAGTGAATTGAATGCATAAGTGATGACGACTTTGAGAATTTCGTTGATTTAAGAATTCATTGAAAATAACTGCAAGAAGCGTAAGCACACCAGTCTTGTAGTCCGGTTTACAAAAAAACTTGAAAATTTCATTATGAGGAAGCAATTATAGTAATAATGATAATGACAATAATATTATTAATAGTAATTATAATGGACTGACGACGATCATTTGTTTGCAGTGGTTTAATTTATCGATGGATTTCTTTAGAATGCAACAGGACTGGTCGTGCGTTTGCATGCCCGAGGTATATGCTTGAGGTATCATCCTCGCACACAAAAATTGTTTTGAATAAATGAGTTGACTGACGAAACGAAAATTGCTTATCGTCATTATTGCACTGTTTATGTGCCGTAATAACAAGATAATGAGAAAATTTATTGTTTTCTTCGTTATTCGTATTACTATTATAATGAGGAAATTTATTGTTTTCTTCGTTATTCGTATTACTATTATTGCGACGATTCCAGTATTCATAGCGATTGAGTCAAACAACGTATTTGTTTTTATGTAGACGATCTGCACTAGGATTCGGAAAGTATTGACTGTGCGGATAAGATTTGAACGAATAAACTTGCATATAAGAGTGATCTTAAGGCGAGCGACTCAGACGATGAAAATCACTAATGACATAGAGAATTTTGGTTGCTAAGTGCCGATTCAATGATGCGCTCTCCAATAAGGAAGGATTCAGTTGTTTTGTGATTGTTCCTTTAAGGTATTTCAGTAGGATCAGGATCGTAATCCATATTAGTAATAACAATAATGGACAGCAATTCTCGTTCCATTAGTGATTACATCAGTATAGCACATTGCGGTTGGGTAAGTAATTCATATGAGGATGTAGATTTGAAATATGTTACGTCTACTTGAGCACCTGCTTGGTTCAACTGGTATTTTGATTGTTCAGATGTCATTTCCAATGAAGCGATCCCAATTTGATGATATTCGTCATGTTTTCGAGCAAACAACATCCTCTTCGAAGAATGCGAAATATGAACGCCTACTGAAGCGTAAACATCGTTCAAATACAAATCCATTGCAAAGTATTTGTTATTCACAGTCAGATCACCTGTTCATTCTCAAATCATTTGAAATTTCGTTTGCATATGCGGTAGCATGATTGGTTGTACACGGAATAGTTCAAATCAATCAGCCAATCCGTGTTGTTTTTGAAGTGACAATTGAAGATTCACAAAAAAAGGCACTATTTGTGCCTGAGAGACGAACAAACATTTCTTATTGTTGTGAGTGAAAATTAGAGATAAGAGATAAGTGTGGGGTACCATGCATTTATGCTCATTCATCGGCGCTTCTTTTGAGGAACGCAATTAAGAATGAAAAGTAAGACGATGTTCTAAAAAGAGCAAGAAACAGCTGAAACGTGTTGTTACGTTCATTAAATACATTGTTTTCAGTTCTGGTATCTGATTTTACTTTATTGGTGGTAGATGTGGCTGACGATTTTTCTTCTGCATAATCATATTATTCTTTCCATTGTATTTCATTTAATTCCAATTAATGGTGGGTGAAGTTGTGATTTGCGAAAAAGAGTTCAACAGCGGTATTGATATGATCGATAGGATTCTGCAGAAACTTCGTCGTCCTTCACTTTAGTGAGAGATCGCTTTGTAACCAGTTTCCTTTCGTGACATTTTTTGGATGAAATTTTGTGGCTGCTTACGTGCGGCCGGTATTGTGTTCAACGAGGATTTTCGAGCATTTTCCTTTCAGAGAAGGAAAATGCACCAGAATCTGTAGGCAACGTGATATATTACTGCGGAAATCCTTCGCTTTCATTTTTTCTTCGCGTATAACCGTTCGTAAAAAGCGTTTCATTGTTGATTACTTATGAATTTATCATTCA